CTGCGCTTGGGCTGCGCTGCAGTGTGGGTAATATTATGAGAATTTATTTGTTGAATACATTCTTTTGTAAACGGACAATCTAATTGAAACTATCAGGACGAAATCATAAGCGAACCCAAGATGACTATTGTGAATCTTACAATATTTAACTAACGATTTGGTAAGCTTAGGGAATGCTGTAGCTTAAAATTTTTGGCTAATAGCTTAGCAGATTTGTAGATCAAGATCTTTTCCATTTACGATCGATGCGTCTGTCAAATCTCAATCAACATGCGCGTCTCAATCAATAAATAAACAAAGAAGAAAAGAAAAGAAAAAAGATAGAAATTGATGTTTGCTTTTGTTCAAATTTGTTGTATATTTGCTTTGGAAATGAATCAGTTTACCTGTTGCTGGCACCTGTCCGAGTCACAGAAATAGTCTTCGGTATAAACCGTAGCAAAATATGAATTCGTGAGTGTATCTGAACTGCGAATGCTCACCGGAAGTGTTGATTCATAGGGCTGTTGCTGCATAAGATTTGCGTTTCTAATTAATTCGACGCAGCTTAGTGGAGAGTCAAGCCAGCTGGTCCAATGGGGCGTATGAGTAATTGTTAATCTTTGGCTTTGCGGTGCTCCAATGCGAATTTTACGTTAATAGCAAAGTCTTGCTGTTGCTCCTGGTGTTGTTGTTGTTGTTGTCGTTGTTATTGGCGTTGTTGCTGTTGCTGTTGTGGTTATTTTTCATTCATAAAACACAAAACACAGTTTCATAATCGAAACCTCAGCCAGAGAGAAAAACCGGTTCGAAGCTTTTGTGTTTTGTATACTTGTTTGAATGATCGAAAAAAAGATATTATTTTTTAAGTTTTTTTTAACGATTTTGTGCTCTTTACTACATGATCACTTGACTTGACTAACAAACTATGCAAATGCGGCAACACCGCGGCACGTGGGCGGCAGCTGCTGCAAATGAGAGATCGAAACGAGCAAAATTCGAGGTTTTTATGAATGAAACTGGCTTGAGGTGACAACGCGGCGGCCGGG